ATTTGTGAGATTGCTTGCATTTTTGATAATCAGAAAAATAAACATTATGAAACTCATTAAAAGATATTTTAAAAATTTCAGACCTCAGGATTTCACTTTGATGAAGTACAAAATTAGAAAAAACAAGTATAATTGATTTCCACCTTGACAAAGATTAATTTGGCCTCTTTGATGTTGCAGTCAACACTTCTAGGGAGCTCTGGATTTTTTTCAATAGTCATTGGGAGCAGGGGCTAGTTTCTGACTTGAACGATGACCTTAATGAATTTTTTTTCCCTATAGAGTTGTAATGGGCATATAACTTAATTCCTATTAAAATAGTGCCCAGATTTTTAGTACTCAAAAAAATGAAATTTTATTTCTAGAACTGGCTTTACTATATAGCTGTGAGCTGGATCCTGGTGGATTTAGTTTACATACAATCAGGTAAATTCATTCCAATCTAGTGACTTCCTAGGTCAGTTCAGGATTGTTAGATTAGTTACAGTCGTGTGTGTGTGTGTGTGTGTGTGTGTGTGTGTGTGTGTCCTTTATGTGATTGGTCAGTCCTTGGGGGAATGGGTGGGAGTGGCTGATCCTTTTCATGTGTGATTGGCCGGTGGTGGTGACAATGGAAGGGACCAGTGATGTTCATTTTATCTGGTCAAGCCTGTTCTGGGACCAGTTGCTGATGTCCTTGAAGGCTGTCGCCTGGACAGGGGCTCTAGTCCAGACTCTGTTGTATCTAAGTCCCTCAGGTTAGTCATACTCCTGAGGGACTGTCAGACTTCCCATCCATACTCCATTCATCAGCAGGACCCCACATTTCTCTGACCAGTTTCCCCCAGTGTGAAGAGCTGGAACTAAGGGTAGAATAGAGACACTGTCTCCTATCAACTTTTTAGTCTGAGGTCAGAGGATGCTGATTCAGCTAATTCTACTTCCAGGTCTTGGTTGTATAGCTATGCAAACTTGCCTTAAAAATATCTTTCAGCTCGGAAGCCAAACAATATGGTACATTTTTTTCCCCGGTCTCTGGTGACATCCCTTACCCCCAGCTCCATCCCAGGCAAACAGCAACCCCAGGTCCCTTTCTCTAAAAAGGAGTGACCGTGACCATGTAAATACAATAGGACTTGCTGTGTGAAGTCTCAAGGTTCACAGAGATGCATAAAACACAGTACCTCTCCTCAAGAAGTTTAAAATCTAGTTGGAGGGGATAAAATAAATATATAAATAACTATGACATAAGGAAAGATAAGCTTCATATAGGAGGCTTAAGAAATATGTTATGGGGCCAGGCACAGTGGCTCACACATATAATCCCAGCACTTTGGGAGGCCAAGGTGGGTGGATCATGTGAGGTCAAGAGTTTAAGACCAGCCTGGCCAACATGGTGAAACCCTGTTTCTACTAAAATACAAAGATTAGCTGGGCGCGGTGGCACATGCCTGTAATCCCAGCTACTCGGAAGGCTGACGCAGGAGAATCTCTTGAACCCAGGAGACAGAGGTTACAGTGAGCCAAGATCACTCCACTGCACTCCAGCCTGGGTTATAGAGCATGACTCTGTCTAAAAAAATAAATAAATAAATAAAAAAGAAAGAAAAAGAAAGAAGGAAAGAAAGAAAGAAAAAGAAAGAGAAAGAAAGAAGAAAGAAAGACAGAAGGAAAGAAAAGAAAAAGAAAGAAAAGAAAGAAAAGAAAGAAAGAAAGAAAGAAAGAAAGAAAGAAAGAAAGAAAGAAGGAAAGAAAGAAAGAAAGAAAAGGAACAAGAAACGTGTTATGAGGCTTCATAGCTAGCTGAGGGGTTCTGTGGAATGCCTGCCCTGTGCTAGACTTACAAATTCGAAGGAGTCATAGGTTGGGTTTCCTGGGAGCAGAATCTGAGAGGGAGGGTTGGGAGAGTTGGGAGAGTTGTTGGCAAAAGGTTTATTGGGCAAGTGTGGAAGGCAGAATTGGGCAAGGGGAGAAGCTGACCCACAGCACAGTTTCATCCAAGGCTCCCCTGAGCTTTGGGAAACTGTGGAGCTGGAAGGGCCCTTCAGAGTCATCCCACACTGAGACAAGGGAACAGGCCTTTGTATCTTCATAATGCAGTCATTGGCCAAGGGCTATCCCTTGAGAGGCAACAACTTTGAGGAGGGCAAGTGCCTGTAGCCCAGAGCAATGTGCAGTGAGAGGCAGAGCCATGCAGGCCCATTTAAATCCTCAAATTCCTACCAGTTGGAGGATGGGCTGTCAGCCCCGAAAAGGATGTCTAAGTGGAACACCACAATATCCCACCCACCAAAAGAACCCACAGAGTGCTGTTCCGCAATACATGAATGTGTTTTCTTTTTCGTATTATAGTTCTTTATGTATGACCTTCCTTCTATTCAGCTAAAAAAGATTAAGATTTTATGATGAAATTCCAAAATAAAAAGTTTATATGTAGCTCTTGATTTCTGAATATTTTTGAGACCACACAATGAGACAACGGTTCTGAACGCCAGGCTTTGCTGAAGAAGAGAAGACTTTGTTAAATTCTGAAAATATCCTTTTTTCATATCAAGAGACAAGCTTGGTAGATTCGGGTTACATAATTTTCTTTTATGCCATGGTGAAGATAATGGAGGATATGACAAACAGGAAGGGGAAGTAGAACATTGCTGATTATATAGGGGGTTGAGACCAGGGTGAGGACACTGTCCACTCCCATCACATCCCCACCTGTACCTCCGGTTTGGAACTCTGAGAAAATACAGCCTCCTAGAGTGACACGGGCCTAAGGCTACTGAGCAGAAATGGTAAGTAGACAATAGGCCTGAGATAGTACTTTTGATCCTTACTTAATCTGTTTCTGACATGGAAGGAATCTGAAGTTCTTTCCTCCTCTGTGGTGAATTCAGAAGATATTTGGTGAGTTTGCCAGAAGGGTCACCAAAGTGACCCCAAGTCGGAGGGCTACATGGGAGACCATTCAAACCTAGGGTCGAATGGGAGTGGCAGCAGACCTCAAGGGATCTGCAGTGCTGGGTGGTGGTGGTGGTCATTTAGTTGGTAGAAGAGACAGGTCATCTGAGCAATTACCATGCACTGGCCTTGCTGAAAAAAATAGACCAAGAATACTTCCCAGTAGATGTCTCAAGAACAGGGGCCAAAGGCCAAACACAAGTAACACAAGTCACCTAAATCAATAGATGTTCTCTGCAAGCCTTTCCCTGATGCCATGAGTTATGTGAATTTCCAGACCCTGTCTTGGGAAGGCAGGACAGGGGGAGCATCTTGGAAAACAGGACAAACTGCTCTTTATAGGGAAATTTGAATTGACTGTATAGGCAAGATCAAGTTATACCCAGAGAATCTTTAAACTAGAAAAGACTAAGTTATTCCATTTGAAAGTTAACATTTCGTTCTGGCATGAGAGCTCATGTGTAAGTTGAGATTGGTCATAAAGAAAGAAACATGGCTTTAGCACACTGTTTGACTCAGGTATACATCCATTACCTCTTTTCATCTTCATAACAACACTAGGAGATAAGAATTATCATCTCCAACTATTTATCTCTGTTATTTTCTACGTTTTGAAGATATCGTACCCCAGAAAAGCAAAGGACCTTTTCCAAGGTCAAATGGCCAGTGAGTGCCAGAGATCTTGCTGAACTGATGGTTCCACGTCACCAGAGGAAAGGCTTTAATGGAGGGAATTATCCTTAAGTCGGCCCTTGATGTGTGTGGGGGTTTTCTGTAAAGACTTGAGAAAAATATTTCAGAGAGAATGAGCCAAGATAAAGAGATCGGAATACAAGAACATAATAAGCTTTGCTGATTGAATATTTTGTATGGATACATATGTATCATATATAGTTATAATTATGTGTTGATTATGTATTGAGTGCTGACCACACGCAAAGCGTCATTCTAAGCCCTGAGTATTGCCTCATTTAACTGAATTACCACAATAATCCTTTGAGGCAAGTACAGTTGTTATCGTCTTCATTTTACAGATGAAGAAACTGAGACACAGAGAGATTAAATAACTTGCTTATGTAGTTATGCAGTTAGGAAAAGGCAAGCCTAGGTTTAACACAGGTAGGCTGACTTCAGAGTATTTGCTATTCTGCCTCCCTGTTTTTGATATCAGGAAATGACATAAGTTGTTTCTATTTTGGTTGGACTCTGATGTTTTAGGGAAAGGTTATTTAGTAAGGCTGAAAATGTTGGTGAGAGTCACGTTGCAAAAGGCTCGCATGCAAGGCAGAGGAGTTTGCCCAAATAATTTTATACATTATAGGTGGTAATTGTAGATTTTCTGTTTCTCAATGACTGGAATTCTGTAAATTGACTTGTGCAATTATAGCTGATCAACTGATACACAATATTTTTTTGAGGCTAAGAACACATCTGCTTTCACTTTTGCTGAAATTTCATTTGTTCTAAATTATCTGAAGTACAGGATTGATATTCTCTCAGGGCCAGTCCCTTAATGATAGATTTTAAATTTTGGCACTCCTATAGAAAAGTAATCTGGAGAGCAAGAAAGTGCAAATTAAAATTATTTGTGTGACATTTAGCTTCTGATTCTTGTGGGAGCTCAATAGACATTTGGTTGGGTTAAGTTTATTAATGTGTCTAAAATAACTTTACATTTGAGTCATGATCTGCACATGCCCCCATTGTAATTTTGAATCCAGTCATGTGTGGCTTTTCAGGAGTAGATGAGCTTGTCAGCATTCTTAGAAGAGGCTTCCCTGTGAGAATTTACTACCCAAATCCAAACATTATACAGTAGTGTTGATGATAATTCCTTATATTTGTTTAGAAGTTCTAGCATTATTTTTCAAGACTTGAGTGTCATGTGCAAAATTTAAATAGTAGATTTGGTTAGTCTGAGAAAATTGGAAGGACTTAATAATAAATTGCATTTTTTTCTTTCCTGAAAATTTTTATATTGAATTTAGTATTTAGTACATGCTTTCAACTATGAATAACGTTAATAAACAAGGTGTGATTTATTTTTAATGTTTCCCTCTCCACAGGTTGCTTACTATTTTGTTAGTGAGCCCTATTTTGATGCATTCAAATTATGAATATAATTGGCGATGGGGAGTTGTAATCACGTGGTCTGGAATTAAAGGAGTTTTTAATTTACTCTTGGCTCCTGATATTTATAATCTTGCTGAACAAAAAGTAGAAGTACCACAAATGGTAGGAAAGATCATATCTCATGATTATTCATATTTGTCATTTTTACTTATCTTGCCCACTTGTCAGAGAACCCAGTAATAAAGTTCACCAGCTTTGAATTAGATTTTTAAAATGCATTCTTTTAAGTAGAAAGGAACAGAGCAGAATGTTATTTATGTTGAGAATGTGAAAGGGACCAAGTCATGGAGTAGTTATGGATGTGGTATTAGATACACTGGGGCTCTGATCTGGACTCCACCATTCACAGGCTGGGTGATCTTGAGGATGTTCCCCAGCCTTGCTGAGCTTCAACTTTCAGTTGAGAATTGACATCATGCTCAATAAAATACCAGACACTTAATAAATGCTCAATAAATGTTATTGAACACACAAATGCTATTTTCTTTTCTTTTCTTTTCTTTTCTTTTCTTTTTGAGACAAGATCTTGCTCTGTCGCCCAGGCTGGAGTGCAATGGTACGATCTTGGCTCACTTCAACCTCAGCCTCTAAGGTTTAAGAAATTCTCATGCTTCAGCCTCCCAAGTAGCTGGGATTACAGGTGTGCACAACCACATCTGGATTATTATTATTATTATTATTATCATTGGTATTTTTAGTAGAGACAGGGTTTCGCCATGTTGACCAGGCTGGTCTCGAACTCCTGGCCTCAGGTGATCTGCCCATCTCGGCCTCCACTCAAAGTGCTGGGATTACAGACGTGAGCCACCAGGCCCGAGTACAAATACTATTTTTCAATAGCTGCCAGAAAGCATGAAAAAAAAATATTCTTGTCAAGAGCATTCTAATCCTTATAGTTCTTAGAACAAAAACTGAAATGCTAGGTAAGTATACCAAGATAAGAAATATTTTATACATTTTTAAATTAAGGGTCTAGTTAGATTTATGTCTTTAGGGCTAATTTAAAAAAATTTATTTCTCGAAAAATTCTGGGCAAAGACTCCATTATCTGTAGCACAAAACAAAACTTGATTTCCTTTCCACTCTTTCTCAAAGCCTTTCCCCATGGGTTAGCTGGTGGATTTCTGGGGAGTCTGGTGGTGGCTGCATCTGACAGTCCAGGCAAGATTCAAAGAGCCCAGTGCAACTGCTGGCCGTGTACTTTGTCATTTGTGACAGCACTGTGAGCTAGCTAGAGAAGTTTCCAGAAGCTGCTAGAAATCTCCAGGATCAGCCTCTCATTACCTTCTAATAAGATAAACCCCAAATCTGTTTCTGGGAGGGGAAAACCTCTTGAATGATATGAGCTCAAGAGCACTGACTCATCTACCAAGGAATCTGGAGGTAGATGTACTGGAGGTAGATGTACAGAGTTTGTCGCTATTGTCCAATTTCCATCCCAGAACTTCTCTTCTTTACTATTTTGCTGCTGTCCCAAAGGCCCAAGGAATACAGTATTTATTTAATACCTTCTTTTTGGGAGCAACTATTGACGTCTCCATCTTGCATGTGGAGAAATCCAATCAAAGAGTAGCTTTCTGTATGTAGCAGAAGAGGGAAAGACCTCAGGTGCCCTAACTCCCCAAACAGGAAGTGCTATTTTTGATGGAGTATAATATTCATATTCCTCACCACATTTTTTTCTGAGGTTTTATATCCACGGGCCTGATCTGGGCATTAATTTTGAGTTCAAATAACCAGTGGTTTTGCAAAGACTTTGGTTCTTTACATGCTCCAAAAGAAAAGTAAAATAATCAACATTACAGCTCCTTCAATTCTCTTTTATGCAAGGAATTGGCCTAAAACCAAGTCAATGAGAAGTTAACTAGCACCTGGGCATCATTTTACAGTGTTTCTTAGTTCTGTCTGGTATTAAGAGTCCCATTGCTTCCACCCTAGACCTATAGAATCACAACCCACAGCGGGAGTCAGTATGTTTAACAAGCACTTCAGGTGATTGTTATTAGTTAAGTGTGCGAGACACTGGAGGAGAAATTACTATTAACTCCTCTTTTCAGTGAAGGATGCTGTGGCTCAGAGTGATGGTTAAATTAACTGGCCCCCGGTCACATGGCTAAGAAATGGCAAAGTCATGGCCTACAAATGTTGGTTATCTTTCTGCTTCCACACAGCACCTCTCCAGGCCTCACCACAGCTCCTGCCTTCTCCTTCAGAACCTCTGGTACAGCCGTAGTAAATGCTGGTGGCAGGCACATATCCCTCTGCTGCCCATAGTCACCACCGCCTGCGGTTGCTGGGCTTTCTCTCCACCCTGCAGTTTCCACAAGCCATGCCTGGGATGGCTACCACTGTGCTGTCTTTGCATGACTACTGCCAGGAGTGGCAACTGTGGAGAGCTCCTCCCTCAGTGTCCTTAGCACAGAATCTCCAGTCTATTGTTTTCCTCGTTCAGATTGAAAATTAATGTCTGCCCCGTGTAGTATGTTCAGGCAATGTCCACAAAACTGCCTTTTTGCCTTAACTGACTTGTCAGAAACAGGGTTTTAAAATGTGGATTAAGATATTAATAGAATTTTGTTGGTAGCTAATTGAACAATGATTGCTGTTGGAGTACTTATTTAATATTTTGGTTCTAACTATTTATGTGCTTTGTTTTTAGTCTATACTCTATGTGCAAGTAGTATCATTATTGACAATGGGAATAAATTCATACGTGATGACTCAGTCAGCCAGGAAGTTAGGTAAAGTATATGTCTCATTCATGATTTAGCTGGGGGGAATAATACAAACAGGTTATTGTTGGGTGTCATGGGCACGTTTCTCATGAAGCTCAAGGAATTGGTTTAGAAATTATTCATTTTTCATTTATTCATATATTTAGATGCATATTGCTTGGGTTATTGATTCAGCCAGTTTAACAAAAGCCAGATGAACAGAGGCTTAAACAAGACAGAAGGGTTTTGTTTCTCTCCACCAAAAAGTCCAGAAGTGTGAGATGGTTCTAGTCTACAAGGTTGTTTAGAAATCCAAGTTCCTTTGATTGCTCTTCCATGCCCTAGGGTGCTACTCTTGTCCACAGGGTAGAAGCCTGCTCACTACCACCATGTCTACAATCCAACCAACTAGAAAGGGGAAATGGTGGGGGAGGGGTGTGTGGCAATGGAGGGTAAGCAGCCTCCCTCTGTATATATCATTATCACTCACATTCTATTGGCCAGAACTTAGTCACATGGACACACATGGGCAAGGGAAGCTGGGAAATATCATCTTTCCCTGCTGGCGATATGATCAGCCAAAACTTAGAGATTCTATTGGCAGAAGGAAGAAGAAGAGAATGGATGCTGGGAGATAACAGCAGGCTCTGCCACAGTTGGTTATTTCTAAAAGGAATCTCAGGCCATTTACAATAAAATGCATAAATATAATAAAATAACAAATAGACACATTCAGTAGAGAAATCCAGAATAAGATACTTGGTGGCAGTAGGGTCAAGGGGAGAGGGGAAAACTGGGGTGAGATTAGGCAAAGTCTTATAGCAGAGCCTTAGTATAGTTCAATATGCCATGGCCTGATCCTCAGCTTTGCTGCTACAGAGACCCGATTTTGTCTGGGTATTTAAAATTGATCAGACTACTGGAGATTTACCTATCAGGCATAACTTGCGGATATTGCAGGTTCAATTCCAGACCATATGACAAAACAAATAATGTAACAAATATCACAATAAAGCAAGTCATACAAATTATATGGTTTCCCAGTGCATGTAAAAGTTGTGTTTACATTGTAATGTAGTCAATTATAATGCAAAAGCACAGTGTTTAAGAAAACTATTTACATACCTTAATGAAAAAATGCTTTCTTGCTAAAAAAATGCTAACAATCATCTGAGCCTTCAGCAATTCACAATCTTTTTGCTGGTGCAGGGTTGATAGCTGCTGACTGATCAGATCAGGGTGGTGGTTGCTGAAGATTGGGTGGCCGTGGCAATTTCTTGAAGACAACAAAGAAGTTTGGCACATCAACTGACTCTTCCTTTCATGAAAGATTTCTCTGTAGCATGCAGTGCTGTTTGATAGCATTTTACATAGAGTAGGGCTTCCTTCAAAATTAGAGTCAATCCTCTCAAAACCTGTTGCCACTGCTTTAGCGACTAAATTTATAAAATATTCTAAATCTTTTGCTGTCCTTTCAACAATGTTCACAGCATCTTCACCAGGAGTAGATGCCAGATCAAGAAAGCACTTTGTTTACTCATCCATAAGAAGCAATTCCTCATCTATGCAAATTTTATCCTGAGATTGCAGCAATTCAGTCACATGTTCAGGCTCTTTTTATTTATTTATTTTTGAGACAGAGTCTCGCTCTGTCGCCCAGGCTGGAGTGCAGTGGCGCCATCTCGGCTCACTGCAAGCTCCACCTCCTAGGTTCTCACCATTCTTCTGCCTCAGCCTCCTGAGTAGCTGGGACTACAGGCGCCCGCCACCATGCCCAGATAATTTTTTGTACTTTTAGTAGAGACGGGGTTTCACCGTGTTAGCCAGGATGGTCTGGATCTCCTGACCTCGTGATCCCCCTGCCTCGGCCTCCCAAAGTGCTGGGATTACAGGCATGAGCCACCGCGCCCGGCCTCTACTTCTAATTCTAGTTCCCTTGCTATTTCCACCACATCTGCAGTTACTTTATCCACTGAAGTCTTGAACCCCTCAAAGTCATCTGTGAAGGTTAAAATCAACTTCTTCCTGACTCCTATTAATGTTGAATTATGAATGCTCTTAATGGCATCTAGAATGGTGAATTCTTTTCATGAGGTTTATTATTGATTTTCCCCACATCCATCAGAGGAATCACTATCTATGACAGCTGTAGCCTTACAAAATGTATTTATTAAATAATAAGGCTTGAAAGTCAAAATGACTCCTTGATACTTGGGCTGCAGAATGGATGTTGTGCTAGCAGGCAGGGAAACAACATTCAACTTCCTGTCCATCTCCATCAGAGCTCTTGCCTGACTAAGTGTGTTGTCAGTGAGTAGTAATATTTTGAAAGGAATCTTTCTTTCCTGAGCAGTAGGTATCAACAGTGAGCTTAACATATTTAATAAACCATGCTGTAAAGAGATGTGCTGTCATCCAGGCTTTGTTTTTTCTTTTTTAGACCTCAGACAGAACACATTCAGCTTAATTCTTAAGAGTCTTAGGATTTTCAGAATGGTAAGTAAGCATTAGCTTCAACTTAAAACCACAAGCTGCATTAGCCCCTAAAAAGAGTTAGTCTGTCCTTTGAAGCTTTGAAGCTAGGCATTGGCTTTTCCTTTTTAGTAATGAAAGTCATCCATGGCATCCTCTTCCAATATAAGGCTGTTTATCTACATTGAAAGTCTGCTGAATCTACATTGAAATCTACATTGAAAATCACGTTCATCAATGATCTTAGCTAGATCTTCTGGATAACTTGCTGCAGCTTCTACATCAGCCCTTGCTGCTTCACTTTGCACTTTTATGTGATGGAGATGACTTCTTTCCTTTAACCTCATGAACCAACCTCTGCTAGTTTCTAACTTTTCTTCTGCAGCTTCCTCACCCCTCTTAGCCTTCATAGAACTGAAGAGAGTTAGGGCCTTGCTCCAGATTAGATTTTGGCTAAAGGGAATGTTGTGTTGGTTTGATTTTCTATTCAGACCACTCAATCTTTCTCCATATCAGCAATAAGGCTGTTTTGCCTTCTTATCATTTGTGTGTTCACCGTAGGAGTAGCACTTTTAATTTCCTTCAAGAGATTTTTCTTTCCACTCACAACTTGGCTGACTAGTGCAAAAGGCCTAGTGCGTGGCTTATCTTGGCTTTCAACCTGCTTTCCTCACTAAATTTAATCATTTCTAGTTTCTAATTTAAAGTGAGAGACATGTGACTCTTCCTTTCACTTGAACACTTAGAAGCCATTGTAGGGTTATTAATTGGCCTAATTTCAATATTGTGTGTCTCAGGGAATAGTGAGATCCAAGGAGAGAGCGAGAGAGAGATGCAGAAATGGCCAGTCTGAGGGGCAGTCAGAACACACACTTACTGATTGTTGTGTTATGTGGGTGCGGTTTGTGGTGCCCCAACACAATTACATTAGTAATATCAAAGATTACTGATCACATATCACCATCATGGATATAATAATAATGAAAAAGTTTGAAATATTGTGAGAATTACCAAAATGTAGACACAGAGACATGAAGTGAGGACATACTGTTGGAAAAATGGTGCTGATAGACTTGCTAGATGCAGGGTTGCCACAGACCTTCAATTTGTAAAAACTGCAATATCTGCAAAGCACAATAAGGTAAAGCACAATGAAACAAGGCATGCCTGCACCACACTCACAGATTCATCAATAAACCAGAAGGCCGATTTACTAGTTTATAATGAGAATGAATTTCTATGTGTGAAATTTTTGTGACCATTATCACAGTATTCACTTCTGATACCAATTTTCTTGATAAACCGGATTGGTAATCAAAAGGTTTCTTGTAGAGCATGGAACTAATGAGGGCAAAGGAAGGATAATGTTGAAGGAGAGTTGATCTAAATATGGCAGTAGCCTGAGATATTTATCCTGTTCTACTCATAAGAGTCAACACTGTTCTGCTTGGGTGTTTTCAGAAAGTCCTGCACATTCTTAGAACTGTGCCCCAAAACACTGTTGCAGAACTTCCTGTGACAGCCCACCTCAAAGCAAAGGGCTCCAATGGTTGAGTGAGGCTAGTACATGGGGCAGATTTTAGGCAGCTCTCCTTTTTCCCCAGTTATGGACCCCTGCCTTCCCCTCCCTTCCCCTCCCCTCCCTTCCCCTCCCTTCCCCTCCCCTCCCTTCCCCTCCCTTCCCCTCCCTTCCCCTCCCCTCCCTTCCCCTCCCGTTTTCTTTAGAAAGTCCTGCACATTCTTAGAATCTGTGCCCCCAAAACACTGTTGCAGAACTTCCTGTGACAGCCCACCTCAAAGCAAAGGGCTCCAATGGTTGAGTGAGGCTGCACATGGGGCAGATTTTAGGCAGCCTCTCCTTTTCCCCCAGTTATGGACCCCTGCCTTCCCCTCCCCCTCCTCCCTTCCCTCCCTTCCTCCCTCCTTCCTCCCTTCCCCTCCTTCCCTCCCTCCCTTCCCTCCCTTCCCTCCCTTCCCCTCCCTTCCTCCCTCCCTTCCCCTCCCTTCCCCTCCCTTTCCTCCCCTCCCTTCCCTCCCCTCCCTTCCACTCCTTCCCCTCCCTTCCCCTCCTCCTCCTTCCCCTCCTCCCTTCCCTCCCTTCCCTCCCCTCCCTTCCCTCCTCCCCTCCTCCCTTCCACTCTCTTTCCCTCCCTTCCTCCCCTTCCTCCCCCTCCCTTCCACCTCCCTTCCACCTCCTTCCCTCCCCTCCCCCTCCTTTCCCCTCCCTTTCCTCCCTTCTTCCCTTTCCTTCCCTCCCCTCCCTCCGCTCCTCTTCCCTCCCCTCCTCTCTCCCTTCCCCTTCCCTCTCTTCCCTCCTCCTCCCTTTCCTTTCCTTCCTTCCTTCCTTCCTTCCTTCCCACCTTCCTTCCTTCCTTCCTTCCTTCCTTCCTTCCTTCCTTCCTTCCTTCCTTCCTTCCTTCTTCCTTCTCTCTCTGTGTCTCGCTCTCTCTCTTTTGACAGCTCACTATCTTGCCCAGGCTGGTCTCAAATTCCTGGGTTTAGCCTCCAGAGTAGCTGGGACTACAGGTGCTCACCACCCCAACAGGCTGTGTTTGTTCTTCTTCATTTAAAAAAAATCATACAGGGCCGGGTGCAGTGGCTCACACTTGTAATCTCAGCACTTAGGAAGGCCAAGGCAGGCAGATCACGAGGTCAAAACATCGAGATCATCCTAGCCAACATGATGAAACCCCATCTATACTAAAAATACAAAAATTAGCTGGGTGTGGTGGCATGTGCCAGTAGTTCCAGCTACTTCGGAGGCTGAGGCAGGAGAATCACTTGAACCTGGGAGGTGGACGTTGCAGTGAGCCGAGATTGCGCCACTGCACTCCAGCCTGGCGATAGAGCAAAACTCCGCCTCAAAAAAACAAAACAAAACAAAACAAAAAAAACAGGGTCTCACTCTGTCACCCAGGCTGCAATGCAGTGGTGTGATTATGGCTCGCTGCAGCCTGGACCTCTTGGACTCGAGTGATCCTCTTGCCTCAGCCTCCCAAATAGCTGAGACTACTGGTTTGCACCACCACACCCAGCTCATTTTTTTTTTTTTCTTTTTTGGTAGATACAGGGTCTGACTATATTGCCCTGGTTGGTCTTGAATTCCTGGGCTCAAGGGATTCTCCTGCCCTGGCATCCCAAAGTGTGGAAATTATAGGTGTGAGCCACCGTGCACGGTCTCGGGTTATTGTTTATAGTGAAAAGCTGTGCTTGGATTGGCAGAAGCTCACAAGGCAGCGTGAGTGAAGTTAATTTGATGCCTGAAGTCTTGCTCACACTTTCCTTCCCACCAAATCCCTTTGGCTGCCAGGGATCTAGACCCAGTTGGCTCTCTTTTTTGAAGACAAAATATGTGGGTTTCTCTCATGCTTCCTTTCTTGTGATTCTTCCTACTCTGTATTCAAAAGTGAGAACAGTGAGGGATTTTACTACATGACAATGCTTTTTTTCTCTTGTTTCTTTTTTTCCCCCTCTATAAATTTTTGGTTGTATTAACCAAGCTTCAGAATTTCTTTTAATTCACTCTGGAATAAAGATTATATAGCAAGTACTTTATATTTTCAATGTTCATTCTTTCTAGAAATACCATGTGGTACACACTTAACAGCTGCTTGTCGGATTTGAGTGTTATCAGTCAGAGGCTCAAACCAACTCCTTCCACCTGGTCTAATGCTTTTAAGCGGTCCCTCCTCATACTCTTCCAGGATTATCTTAAACACTGGGAGTACATTCAGATGTACTGGTGCCACCAAGCAGCCCACATGCCTTCATACTTCCCCTGAGTAACTGGAAAGTGGCTGTTGCCCCATCATATGGTTGGTATCTAATTGGGCAAACGAATACATTTTCTCCTTGTGTGGTCTTAGCCCTGGGAATTTTAAATCCAAGGCAGCAGGCAGTCAGATGCCTCTGTGCTCTGGGTTACAGTGAACTGATTCTGATGCTTGAGAGGGATATCCCTGCAGACCTTTCTGGATCCCCAAACTTCAAATCACTCCATTGTACCCAGTGTCCCATAGAGAGTGAAATAAAGTTACACTGAAACATTTGGAAGCCATTTAGCCCTTGAAGAGACATTTCGTATGCAATTATAAGGAGAGAACAGCTTTATTGAGATGGAATTGTGAGTAAGTAGACTAAGCTCATTTACTCATTAAACTCTTCTCTTTGGTAAGTGAACCTTATAGAAACCACAAGAAAATGCAAAATGCTACACATTTTGAACATATTGATTCACTGGCCAGAAAACTGAGATGTTAAATTTGAGGGATCTCTATTGCACTGGCCTTTAAATGTTATTATGTACAGTATAAGAAACAATTGGAGAACTTGTTAAAATGTAAATTTTCAGGCCAATCTGATTCTGTAGGTATGGAGTAGAACCCAGGAATTTGCATAGTTTAATACGCAGCCCTTCCACCTGTACCCTTTACACTTTGAGAAATATGGATTGGGTGCGTTGAAGTAGTCTTGTCTTTAGCTATAGGGAAAGCAGGGAAACTAATAAACATTTTTTAGCAGTTGAGTCAGATAAGGTTGAGCTATACAACCAAAAAGAAATAAATAGTTCGGTAATCTTCTGGAAAGTTTTGTATGAAAAATTGTCCTTGCTCTAACCACTCTGGTTTGCAGGTGATCTCAAGATTTCACTACATAATCATGCAACATTTTTTTGCTTTCCCTTGCAGTCATCACTGTACTCTATTAAGGCCTTTGCTTTTGTCTTTGTCACAGATTTGTGTGTTCTTTCCCTCCCAAGACAAATGGCCTTGCAAAATGCTACTCAGCACATACAGGAGATAGTACAGAACACAATAAGTTTATCTAAAGCAGAAAAAATTTTGACAAATGTTAATTGGACCTTAGTAGAAGATAAAACGAGGATCGAATACATTCCTGTGAGTTGATACCTGGCAAATTTAGTTTTCCTTTCCTTCCCTTGGTCTGCCTCACTTGCTTTAGTCTATTGTTAAAGACCTGATTCTGCTAATTAAACGTCAGGAAACTGAGGGGAGAGAGTTACTGGCTTTGCTATTTTGGTGAAATGAGTTTGAATTCTGTCTCTAAAGAGAAGGTCTTGGTTATCCAGCTTTATTTGCCAAATACGAGGAGAATGGATGTGTTTACGATCTGGCTGGTTGAGTACCAATCAATGGCCTCTGCCAAGACAATGTTTTTAATGGCTTAAGATACTAAGAATTCTCTCCTGGTAGGAGTGTTATAAAAAGCAGAAAACACGGGCTGATTTAGAGAGCAGTCAAGCATATAGATAAGTTTAGAGAAGAATTTGGGATATAAATCTCCCCAAATAAGTATTTCCTTTAGCACAAATGAAGGCAACACTTCTTACATGAAAAAACATTACCCACGTTATACACAGCTCTTCATTCTAGCAATTCTGCTTTGAATTACTGGAATCTTTGTTGAGAGTAGCACTTGCCAGTTCCTAGTCATTTTTACTTATTTTTAACTTTATCTCTTTATGTTTTAAAATGTCGTCTGGTACGTTTCAGTCTTCCCACGTTTCACATAAGGATATGAAGAAGGAATCCACAACAGATGAAGCTTTAATAGAAGAAGCCAGATTGCGTGTAGCTACAATACAAATGGTTGGTGCTGTTCACATAATGTTTTAAAATTTCTTGTCTTGCAATGTCTTTAATCCTGGCATATGATTTTCAGATGACTTGAAAACTTTTCTTCATCTTCTGACAGTCTGTTGATTGTTAAAATTAATGTGTGATTTGTTAAAGTCAAAAAATAAAAAATTTCCTTCTTCCTGAGGCTTTAAGTTTAAGACACAAACCTTATTATCCTGTTTCTATGTCTGGCAAATTTTAGCAGTCACTTTTGAGGGCCCTTAGAATAATGTTTGGTGCTATTTACATACCAGATAATTAAACATTTTCAAATATTTAAATTGCTTTTATAAATGTAACATATCTGAGTTCCATTTATATAAAATTCTCTCAAGTGCTAATAATAGCTGTTAGAGATACATTAAGCTAAAATAGATCTGATGAATCAAAAATTCTCTTGAAATGTTGTAATACTAATATTTAAATGTTCTAATATAAATATAGGAAGATTACCTGGTAAAATCAAGTTTACACCAGCTTATCAAATTATACATTTTAAACTGGAGTTATAATCAAATAGAACAAATTTTATTCAATATAAAATGTATATAAAATACTAATTATGCCTGGAATTCTTTTTTAGTTTCTTTTTAAAATTTATCATCAATATTAAGAATTCCTAACATATGCAAAAGTAGATAGAATAGTGTAATAAACCCTCATGTGATGGGTACAACCTTAAAAACCATCCACATATGACCGATACCTGCTGCATCCTAACCCCCATCTTATGTATTAGTTTGAAACAAATCATACATGGCATATCATTTCATCTGTAAATATTTCAGTATATATCTTTAAATTCTAAAGTATTTTTAAAAACATAAAATACTAACATTATACTTAAACATGAGTAATAATTCCTTAATAACATCAAATATCGAGTCAGTGGTAAGATTTCCAATTGTCTCAAAAATGTGACAAATACTTATTTTTACAGTTTATATTTTCAAATTGAATTCCAGTAAAGTCCACACATTGCAGTGAACTGATATGTCCTTCAAATCTCTATTAACATATAAATTCCTTCTTTTTGCTTTCATTTTTTTCTGTTGAAGAATATATTTCTTCTTATTTATTTATTTATTTATTTAGAGACAGAGTCTGGCTCTGTCATTCAGACTAGAGTACAGTGGCACGATCTTGACTCACTGAAACCTCCGCCTCCTGGGTTCAAGAGATTCTTGTGCCTCAGCCTCCCTAGTGGCTGGAATTACAAGTGCGTGCCACCATGCTCAGCTAAATTTTGTATTTTTAGTAGAGATGGGGTTTTGGCACCATGCCCAGCTAATTTTTGTATTTTTAGTAGAGGTGGGATTTTCGCACTTTGGCCAGGTTGGTCTCAAACTCCTGGCCTCAAGTGATCTGCCCACCTCAGCCTCCCAAAGAACTGGGATTACAGGTGTGAGCCACCGCTCCCAGCTTGAAGAACATATTTCTTCTTAAGAAATTATTTTCATTCTTTTAAACATTTCTATACTTAGTTTAACATATTCTCAGAGTTTGAAAGGCTCTCATCCACAGTAGAAAATTCCATATGGCCACAAATTCTTTGCAGAGCCTCCTGTTAAAAAGTGGTATCTTTATCCTACCCCTTGAATTTGGGCTGTTCTTGTGATTTGTTTTGAGCATAAAATATGGCAGAAGTGGCTTTGTGAACGTTCTGGAGCCTAGGCATTGAGAGGATTTGTAGCTTCTACCTTTTTTCCACTCTGAATGCCACCCTGAGACTGCCATGCAAAGAAGATGACCTAGCCTCTGAAGAATGAGAAGCCACCTAGAGGAAAACTGAGGCAAAAGGGCTAGTACCTAACTTCCAGACTTGTGGATGAGGCTGCCTCAAGTCAAGGGGTGGGGCAATAGACTCAACCTCTTAATAGTAAGACATACACAGAATTTGTGGCCATATTTACTGTTCCACAGTTTGCCCACTGGCCACAATATTTCTACCCCTCCTACATGTAAAACAGACTCACCCTTTTCCAAGAATCCAAAAAGCTACATCCTATTTGCTATCAGACTCAAAGTCCAGTATCTCATGATCTGCAATCCAGGTGAGAGGCTCCTTGGTTGCCTCTCCTGAAGTGTGACTCCTCTTGATCTAGAGACCTGTGAACTAAAAAGACAAGTTATCTGCCCCCCAGACACCCAGTATTCAGTGATGATCAATAGACACCACTGTTTAAGACGGGGAAGAATGGGATGGCTTGAGAAATTACTGGTCCATGGCAATTCTGAAATCCATCTGTGCACACATACCAATTCTCTTCATTCTTTCCATTTCTGTAGGAAATCATCCATGCTTGTAGCCAAGTGATTTCTCAGTTTGATTTCTGCCTGTAGAAAACTGGGAGGTTTATATTCATTTAGAACTGTCTCTGTCCCTTTTTGTCCAATCTAGCACAATTACCGTAAAAACTGTTTGTTTTCAATGACTCTGGTTTAGTCCACCCCACTTCACAATTTCTTATCAGGTAGACTGTTGACTGTGTCAGACAACACAGATATGAGTCTGAGGTGGCCTTTAGTCTTGTTGAGAAGGTAGACGAAGTTCAACCTTGAATCTTTGGGTGGTCTTAACAAAGAGCCTTCAGCCACACCCTCGATTTGATTTGGAAGCTGAGGCCATGTTTTACTGGCAGCACCCTGGATTTGGTCTTTTTTTTTTAAATTATACTTTAAGTTCTAGGGTACATGTGCACAAATGTGCAGGTTTGTTACATACGTATATATGTGCCATGTTGGTTTGCTGCACCCATTAACTTGTCATTTACATTAGGTATTTCTCCTAATGCTATCCCTCCTCTATCTCCTCATGCCACGACAGGCCCTGGTGTGTGATGTTCCCTGCCCTGTGTCCAAGTGTTCTCATTGTTCAATTCTCACCCATGAGTGAGAACATGCGGTGTTTGGTTTTTTGTCCTTGTGATAGTTTGTTGAAAATGATGGTTTCCAGCTTCATCCATGTCCATACAAAGGACATGAACTCATCATTTTTTATGACTGCATAGTATTCCATGGTGTATATATGCCACATTTCCTTAATCCAGTCTATCATTGATGGACATTTGGGTTGGTTCCAAGTCTTTGCTATAGTGAATAGTGCTGCAATAAACATACGTGTGCATGTGTCTTTATAGCAGCATAATTTACAATCCTTTGGGTATATACCCAGTAATGGGATGGCTGGGTCATATGGTACATCTAGTTCTAGATCCTTGAGGAATCGCCACACTGTCTTCAACAATGGTTGAACTAGTTTAGAGTCCCACCAACAGTGTAAGAGCATTCCTAATTCTCCACATCCTCTCCAATACCTGTTGTTTCCTGACTTTTTAATGATCATCATTCTAAGTGGTGGGAGATGGTATCTCATTGTGGTTTTGATTTGCATTTCTCTGATGAGCAGTGATGATGAGCATTTTTTTCATGTGTCTGTTGGCTGCATAAATGTCTTCTTTAGAGAAGTGTCTGTTCATATCCTTTGCCCACTTTGTGATGGGGTTGTTTGATTTTTTTTTCTTGTAAATTTGTTTAAGTTGTTTGTAGATTCTAGATATTAGCCCTTTGTCAAATGGGTGGATTGCAAAAATTTTCTCACATTCTGTAGGTTGCCTGTTCACTCTGATGGTAGTTTCTTTTGCCATGCAGAAGCTCTTTAGTTTAATTAGATCCCATTTGTCTATTTTGGCTTTTGTTGCCATTGCTTTTGGTGTTTTGGTCATGAAGTCCTTGCCCGTGCCTATGTCCTGAATGGTATTGCCTAGGTTTCCTTCTGGGGTTTTTATGGTTTTTAGGTCTAATATTTAAGTCTTTAATCCATCTTGAATGAATTTTTGTACAAGGTGTAAGGAAGGGATCCAGTTTCAGCTTTCTACCTATGGCTAGCCAGTTTCCCCAGCACCATTTATTAAATAGGGAATCCTTTCACTATTTCTTGTTTTTGTCAGGTTTGTCAAAGATCAGATGGTTGTAGATGTGTGGTGTTATTTCTGAGGGCTCTGTTCGGTTCCATTGGCCTATGCCTCTGTTTTGGTACCAGTACCATGCTGTTTTGGTTACTGTAGCCTTGAAGTATAGTTTGAAGTCAGGTAGTGTGATGCATCCAGCTTCATTCATTTTTCTTAGGATTGTCTTAGCAATGTGGGCTCTTTTTTGGTTCCATATGAACTTTAAAGTAGTTTTTTCCAATTCTGTGAAGAAAGTCATTGGTACCTTGATGGGGATGGCATTGAATCTATAAATTACCTTGGGTAGTATGGCGATTTTCACAATATTGATTCTTCCTATCCATGAGCATGGAATGTTCTTCCATTTATTTGTGTCTTCTTTTATTTCGTTGAGCAGTGGTTTGTAGTTCTCCTTGAAGAGGTCCTTTGCATCACTTGTAAGTTGGATTCCTAGGTATTTTATTCTCTTTGTAGCAATTGTAAATGGGAGTTCACTCATGATTTGGCTCTCTGTTTCTCTGTTATTGGTGTATAGGAATGCTTGTGATTTTTGCACATTGATTTTTTATCCTGAGACTTTGGTGAAGTTACTTATCAGCTTAAGGAGATTTTGGGCTGAGACGATGGGGTTTTCTAACTATACAATCATGTCATCTGCAAACAGGGACAATTTGACATCGTCTTTGCCTAATCAAATACCCTTTATTTCTTCTCTTGCCTGATTGCCCTGGCCAGAACTTCCAACACTATATTGAATAGGAGTAGCGAGAGAGGGGATCCCTGTCTTGTGCCAGTTTTCAAAGGGAATGCTTCCAGTTTTTGCCCATTGAGTATGGTACTGGCTGTGGGTTTGTCATGAAAAGCTTTTATTATTTTGAAGTACATTCCATCAATATCTCATTTTTTGAGAGTTTTTAGCATGTAGGGCTGTTGAATTTTGTTGAGGGTCTTTTCTGCATCTATTGAGATAATCATGTGGTTTTTGTCTTTGGTTCTGTTTATGTGATGGATTACATTTAT